GTGGCTTCCCTCCCCAGAGGCTGCCACAGCCAGTGCTGTAACCAGCTAATTTTGCGCCTGAGGCAAGAATATAAAATTGCACCCCTTCATGTTTATATATTCATAGTAGTTATTTCGTAGAAAAAGGGAAAATAAACAATAATAATAAAATAATAATAATACAATGTTTATTTATTATAGTTGAGATCTGCATAACCAATCAATTAATACATATATATATATATAATTATAAAATATCACCATGTCATGTACTATTAGGTAATCGTTTTTAATTGTACTTTGCACACTTTTTATGAGGCAAACCCATCAATAATTGTGTTGTAATTAATATTATTCGCTACCTCGTGTTCTATTGATAAAATGGGACATATTTGATAATCTCTCCTGACCTGTGGATGCTTGAAGGTAGTTCTTAATTAATTTTAGTTTACTAAAACTTCTTTCAGAAGAAGCCATAGTCACTGGCAAGCAGAGAAATATTTGCAGGGCGATTTCAAAATTTGGATAAGATTCGGCCAGACTATATTCATAAATTAACTGTAGAAGGTCCAAACTAGTTGCAGATGAAATGTTTGGCAACAGCGCTAATGCCTGATGTTTAAAACTCTGAATCTCTGACAAAATTTCCGAGGCATTCAAATCGCTGCCATATTTAAAACTTAAATCTGCTGCTTTTTGAAGATTAGTAGTATCCATTTTAACAAAAGAATCTCCTGATAAAAAAATTGAAATCCGAAGAGCTCTCATTTAGCGTTTCATATCTCCAGTTTTAATTCAAATATTATGCAGTTAAATATGCTTTTATTTGTATTTTGAATGATTCTTCAGCTGATAAATTAACACTTTCATCTTGTGACTCAAAGCTGTTGTCTTTTAACTTTTCACTTTCTGCATTCTGTAAATTCTGCTGATATTTCTATATTTTGGACCGTTTTTTTACAATCAGTAAAAATATCTTCCACATAGCTCTTGTTTCCATGGATCATCTTAGAAGCCTGACAAACAGAAATGCCTTTTGCTTGTAACGCTTTATTCATTCTGGCAATGTGAGTTAGAATATAATGCCAAATGGATAACTGCACAAAAACTCAAAATTAATTTTTTAAGAAAGTTATTAGCTGCTAAAACTGTTTCAGCACATTTAGATGAAGCAGCAACATCATTTAGGACCTTAGTAACTTCTGAAATCTGCAAATTTAAAGCTGCAATTGAATTTGCTTTTGATGCCCATCTAGTATCAGCATGACCTTTTAGTGATACTTTTAATAAACCCATTAAAATATTCCAGCGGGTGGTAGAATTAGAAATAAAAAGTGTTTATTTTTGTACAGTGCCAAAGAATGAAACCATAGAGGAATTTACAGAAGCTGCATGTACTCCAACGAAATTGAGACTGTGGGCCAAGCACGGTACACAATTTGCAAATTTATTTATTGCAGAATGACAGCTTTGATGCCTTTGTACATGCCTGACATATTTGCACCATTATTGTACCCTTGGCCTCATGCGTTTTGAAGATCAATTCCATTCTTTTCAAACGTCTTTACTATTTCTTTGGCTAATCCACTTCCTGTTTTTTCCTTGGTCTCAATAAAGTCTATGAAACTTTCTTCTATAGTTATGATTCTATCATCAATTTTCACAGCTCACAATCTGAGATATTTGATCACGATGAGGTATATCTGGTGTATAATCCAGAAGCATAGAATAATATTTTGCTTTTTTAAAATTTTGGATATAATTTCAATTCGAACTTGGTTTGCTAGTAACCCAATACAGCCGGTCCCCGAGTTACGAATGGTCGATTTATGACCGTTAGCACTTATGACCAAACCTCCCATTAAGCGGTCGTAAAGGTGGTTCCCGAGTTACGAACGCAACCCACGCTTATGAACAGCGCAGTCGCATGTAACTTAATGGGTCCGACTTATGAACACTTCGAGTTACGGCCACGTGTTTGGTTTGTAACTCAGGACCAGGTGTAAACTCATTTTGGATAGCCAGTGAAAAAGAGCTCACCGAACCTTTTTGTGAGTTACAATATGTTGTTTTAGTTCAACATCATAATGACTTATAAATTCCATTAGATTAAGAAATATTCCCGAATTAGGGTTTCCTATAACACTACTCAATCCTCTAAGTGGAAGATTATTTTTGGCACAAAAAATCTAGAATTATTTTCACGATATGTCTCCATTTTTGCTTATCAGCTTCAATAGCTTTTTTGTAGTGCATCATCAATATATTCTCTACTCAATCTTTTTCGCATGGATTTCCATTTACAGAAATTTTCATGACGAATGCTTGAATTTTCATGCTCTACAATACGGTTTAAATTTTTCAAAGCATTAAATCTGCTGGTTTTCTGATTTGCAATATTCAGTTTGGAAAAACGCTGATCAAATAATATGCATGGAAAACAAAAAATGGCCTTACTAGTTTCAGAATAAATAAGCCAATTGTGCTCTAAAATTCATTATAAAGCACTTTTTAAAACCAATCACCTGAAACTTTTTGGCCCTCTGATGATACTGATTCATGAAAATCCATGGTTTTTCTCTCGCCAGGTGCTTGTTCAATAAGATGGCATCTTATTTTGTCATTTATAGAGAGCCAAGATGGTGGATTGTTAAAATTTATTTATATTACAGTTGAATCTTGTTGATAGTCCTGGTCATTGTTAATGTCAATAATCATAATCGGTGACGAAGTTGAGACCTTGAGATTGAGCTTGTGGTCAATCTCAGAGTCAGAGATTGATGCTGAAGCTGTAATGTCAAGTTCCAGTTGCTGGTCAGTGGTAATAATCAGTACTGAAGTTGTATGATCATTGTCATCCCAGGGTTCAGCTAATGGTGCATTTTCAGTATTCAGTGCATTTTCCACTAGCCATTTCCCCATTTCTCTCAACATCTTTTCATTTTTCTCTCATGGTGAATTTTTGTCATTTAAGAAACTCTGCCCCAGAAGGTCATTTCCATTTGGAATTCATAATGTAGGATCTTTTTCTGAGTGGCCTAAATTCCGGCCTTGTTACTGCTCAGATGCAAAGCATATTTTACTACACCACCACTCAAGGGAGAGATGAGACACTCCCCTGCCCCACACCAACCAGCAGAGCGACTCTGCTGGCGCTGGGATTGCAGGTTTGTGTCACTCCCCTTCCCCTACCTCCACCACCAGCTGCTAGTCAGTGCAGAGGCCTGGACCCCTGCAACGGTGCCCGACCACCTACTAGTCCCCCAAACCACATCACTGGGGCGGGCGGGAGAGGTGGGACAGGGTCCAGGGCAGGAAAGGGAAGAGGCTCAGAGATGTTATCCCGTCTCCCTCCCTCAGCAGTCTCCCCGGCACCTTAGTCGCTGGGGAATAGGGAGGTTAAGAACCTATAGACAACAACATTGCAAGTGCAGACTTTCCCCCTCCAGCCCCAGAAGCGACACCAACGTGAGTGCACGACTCCTGAGCAAGTCAGTTCCCAAATAAAACCACCTGTCCCTGCGCAGGTTGCAGCAGCTCCCGCCCGGACCCTTTAGAGGGGCCAGGCTCCTGCCCCAGCGGAGGGGATGGAACGTTCCCGGGGCCGGGACTCAGCAGCACGCGCTCCCAATAAGTCTCCTGCCCTCACTGCAACTTGCACAAGCCCCGCCCCGGGTCGCTCAGGCCAGGAACGTAATGACTAGGCGCAACCAAGACTGGGCGCGGGGGAGGAGGGAAAACGAGCCACTTTCTCCTGTAAAGTGAGCACTTCCAGCTCCCCCAACTCCCGGCCGTACCACTTGCAGCCTGTCTCAGGCTGAGAGCTCTGGGTAGGAGTGTACCATATTAGCAGGGGGGGCGGAATGCGCAACGAAAAAGACGGGCTTAAAGCAGGCAAGCGGCTGCTTCCTGTCAACGAAGCTGCTGCTCGCTAGGGGGAACGGGAGGGTCCCAGTTGTCGCTGGGGTTGCCACATGCGGTCGGAAGGCGGAGGGCAGTGGCAGGGCGGGTTTTCACC